TCTCTCTCTCTCTTAAAAAAATGGCTGGGATCTAGGGAAATAAGCTTAATTTACAAGATTTCTCAGCATGAAACTGGTGAATTCACATTAAGGTCCAAAGCTAAAATAAATAAATAATAAAGTGAGTGAAAATTTTCCAAATGCACAAAATCATAAAATATTTGTTAAACATGATCCTTGGGTCCCGGGACACCCAATGAATGGAGTGTCACACATCATTGACAAATAACTCAAACAACACTGGAAAATTATTTAAATTTTACAGAATTTGAAAAGTTCTAAAAAAAAAAAAAGAATTCATTAAATTTTTTTTCCTGCCAAAACCACTTCAGAACAATGTACTGAATGTATTGACCTCTCTTCTTAAGGAAAGATAGAGAGAAAGCTGAGGTAGGAGAGGCTACAGTCAGAATATGTGGATTTGTTTGTTTTGATGCAGAAAATACAATGACCCTGCCCCACAACCAAGAAATTGGTGCTACTTATTGGGTATGGTTCATAAGTAAAAAGTTGCAAGATCACATGATCAAGGGTAAAATAAAGACAAAATTTCAACAAGATTTTGCATTCAAAATAAGTAAATATTCTCATTACTCCAAAAAATAATACCAGGAAGATCCTAAATATATAAAAAGTCCTACAAATGAATATAAGTAAAATCATCTGACCTGATATCATATAAATTTCGTATTAGTTCAAGGAAAAAATAAATTATGTCAGGTGATTTTAGGAAAATAATGTTGAATGTACTTTAAATTGTATTCATCTGAATAAAAAAAGAAATTTTTAAATTTGGTTTTATTTCTAGTAGTACAACTGATATTTTGTTTTGAAACTACTATTCCATAAACTAATTTTCCATAAAGGAAAAGGTGTGCAGCTCTCACTTTAAAACAAGCAATTAATCATGTTAATATTGTTGTAAATAAAGGTTTTCAGCTTAGGAAAATGTAAATAAAATCATGAAAAAACACAATATTAAAATTGTTAGACAAAAGTAAACAAATATTGCCAGGCATAGTGGTGTACACCTGTAATCCCAGAGACTTGGGAGGCTGAGTTATCCTGTCTCAAAATGAAAAAAGAAAACAAAAAGGGCCAAGGATTTAAATCAGTGGTTAAGTGCCCCTGGGTTCAATCCCCAGTATTAAATTAAATAAAATTAAATTATATTAAATCAATAAAGTATTATAATTAAGTTAGAACTTATCCATATGAGTTTATGGATTTAAAACGGATGCTCATGGAATTTTTTGCATATTCACATTTCATGTAATATATATGTGGACATAAATACAGTGATCTTTTTATCTTCTCTTCACTGGTCATAGTTTCACTTATCCACAGTGAACCATAGTCTGAATATATTACAGAAAATTATGGAAAATTCCAGAAACAAGCATTTGTAGGTTTTAATCGTCTGCTTTCAGAGTAGCCTGTCAAAATCTCCTGTGTCCTCCTCTACCCTTCCTGGGAGGACTCATCCTTTCTCCAATGTATCCACACTGCATAGCTACCCACCAATCCTCCCTGTGGGTCACATAGTAGTGGTCTTTGTTTTCAGACCAACTGTCACAAGATAGCAGTGTACTTGCTAAGTCACCCTTATTTCAGTTAGCACCAGCTCCAAAGAGCAAGAGAGTGAGGAGGAAATTCAGATGTGAAAGAGAGAGGCCTAAAGTGTTCTTTAAAGGAAAAGGTGTTCAGCTCTCACTTGAAGGAATGAGGAACATCACAGCTCAAGGCTGCTTGGACCTAGGATAAGTTGTTCATCTCCTAATTTATACTGTTCCTAATTTATAAATGAAACTGTACTGCATGTTTGTATGTATAGAAAAATTTAGATCCATCTGCAGTTTTTAACTTTCACTAGGGGTCTTGGAACATATCTCATGTGGAAATGTGAGACAATGATAAATACATATACTTATGTTTAATGTTCATACTGTTTCTTTAAACACAAACATATTTAAATACATGATGTATGAATCTGCACATCTATAAAGTGTCCACTAAAGTGGATGAGAAGTCATTTTAACTCAGTAATAAATAGTAACCCCAGACTTGGGCTGAGGTCTCCAGTGCATGGAATTGAGGATACTTTGAGAATGGTTGATTTTAAGAGTGAGGCAAGAAAGACACCCAAAGAGTCTTACATATTAGACTTTAATGGAAAAATGGCAGCTTTTAATAATTTAGGGAGGCTGTAGAAGCAGGTTGTAGAATTCTAGGTGAAGGAAATTCTAGTATTCAAAGTGTGCCATAAATGATAATTCTATCATATAAATGTTCATTGAATTATTAAAATATCCATTAGCTCCTAATATTGCTTACAAAGGGGAAAGCTAGATAAAAGTCATATGCCTTCATTAGTGGCAACTATAGAAGCTGTTTCTTGCTTGGAATTGGGTAATTAAGTAAGGAAAATGAAACATTGATCCAACCTATGCAGTAGGACTTCCATGTTGAGACAGCCATATGACACCAATCAAGAAAAGAATGAATGCATTTGGAAATTATGATTTCCCAAATTCTAAATATGTCTTTTTGTTTCTTTCACCCATCAGCAATTGCTTCCAAAACCATCAAGGCAATGCTCTATAAGGAATTAGAAATATGTAGGCTGCCAAAGAAATGGACATATTTCTTTCTACTCAGAAGCGGGACAACTATCATTCTTGCCTAAACCACTGATCAACACTTAGGTCAGTATGGTGGGGTAACAAGAATTGTTAAATGTGACATGACATGAAGCACTACAAGGTGACAACCTCTAAGTTTAGTTTTAGACAAAAACCTAAATGTACATTTTAAAAATCAATTCCCTTGCTATAGACAATACAAACTATGGTGGAGGAAGCTAATATCTTATAAAGTTGTTAGGAATATTGAAATATTAGAATAATATAGGGAATCGTGAGCACACTCTTTTTAGCAAGTCAGTGATAGAAAAAAGAAAACTCTTCTGGATTAAAGGAGATATAAAGACAATGTGAATTTTTGTTTTGTTTTTGTTTTTTGGTAATGGGGATTGAACTCAGGGGCACTTAAATACTGAGCCACATCCCCAGACCTATTTTTTTTTAAATTTTATTTAGAGACAGAGTCTCACTGAATTGCTTCGTACCTCACTGTTGCCGAGGCTGGCTTTAAACTTGAGATTCTCCTCTCTCAGCCTTCCACGCCACTGGGATTACAGGTATGCACCACCATGCCCAGTGACAATGTAAATTTGATGCACATAAAATTCATAGACTGAATCTGGGCTGAGACAAATAGGTTATGAGAAAAAAATAGGGACAAAGTAGATTTTTAACATGGAATTAATATTAAAAGAGTACATCTTGGGAAATGGAAAGGTGTCAGTCACTAACTCAAAAAAGAGGCTAGCAATGTTTAGAAATGTTTGGAAGGAGGTGTATCAACATGTTAGTGGTCACCACCTTTAGATAGTGAGCATAAGCTCTTTCTTTTCTTCCTGTATCTAGATATGTATTTTGATTACATACTATTTGGAAATGTAAAAGTATTTTAATTAAAACTCAGTAAAGTTCATGCGTAAAGTATGGGGGAAAAGATTCAGTCCCTGAAAAAATTCAGGAATATTTTAAACTAAATTCAGGAAGATGAAGCTCATGGAGGTAAGTTCAGAGAATTTGCACAACATGGAAAGAGAGCAAGAGAGTGTATGTCAGCAGGACTGTGGAGAGAGACCAGGAAATGGCTAGAATACAGCTAGTTGAGGAACTTGTGGGTACTGCAGGAGTACAGAGTAAAGACTACAGAGACTTGCAGCTGATGGCTCACAGCAATGGCACGTCTGCTAATTAACAGCCAACTGGCTTCATTGCATACAAAAATTTCCCATGATTCAATCATTACAAAGAAATACCTTTGAAATGGCTTGTTGCCTTCTCACTGTAGAAATTCCCCCCACCTGAGCAACCTGGTCTACTCAGGTTCATCTGATGCTCTTGCAAGGTCATCCCTCAGCTCTGCAAGCAGATGGATCAATGCCCACTCAGAACCGAAGGCCACACAGTCCATATTGTCATTGTTCTGCTGTTCATCATGTATTGTAGCTCAGGGCTTTCAAGTCTGACCCGTTCATGACCTGTCTCTTCCATGAGGCTTACTGTTCCAGACCTTTACGTCATTGATTCAGGACGCCTGGTACAGTATCTGCATCATAACTGGACCTCATTAAAAGTTACCAGACAGCATGGAGAGAACCTATCAATGAAACTCCCAACATGAGAGAGGAGTTAGCTGTGATTAAATGATTGATAAGCACAGCAGATATCATAGTGATATGTAGTGGACAATACCACATGACTGACTTAACTGTATTTTGTATTTTTATATCTAGATTCCAATTTTCTGGTAGAATTATTATTATTATTGATCTTGCTATATATCATGTTGGTATATTCAGTACAACTCTTGTAAACTCTTTTTATTTTTTTTGTGCTAGAGATTAACCTCAGGACCTCATGCATGTTAAATACCTATTCTACCACTGAATAATCAAGTTCCTAGCTGTCAGTCAAGTTCTAATAACTTGAATGCATAGTGTTATTGTTGTCTTCTAAAATCTCGATTGTTTTTGCCAGACATCTCTTATGAAAATTCATGGCTTCCTTCAGTGTACATTTGTCTGATGGGTTGCTGGAGCAGGAACAAATCATCTCCATGTATTTGGGGACCGTATTTATTCCAGGTTGGCATGTAATGTTTGTATGTACCAATCTAGCTTTGATTCACCTTCACTCAAATGGGAGCCTTTCTGCAGTATCAACCAAATCTTGGATAATTATTAGGTTCCTTGTTCCCTAAAATGTTCCAACACTATGTAATTAACAT